TCTTGCATCTGCGCCAGAATGTCTTGCATCCTTCGTATCTGCGAATTGCGAATCGTCAGTTGATACAGTGCGATTGATATTTAGGAAAATCATTTTTGTCAAAATTAAATTGGAACAGGGTTGGTTAATTTCCAAACGGAAAGGATCGCAACGTTCAAATTAAATAGGAATTTTAAAAATAAGTTGCACTGTGAAAAAAATTTATTAACTTGACTAAATCTTTCAAGTAAATATTATTTTGTTAATTGAACATATAAAAATATTTAAATAAAATATAATATATTAAATTTATAACAAAACATATTAGTATTTAGTCAAATATGTATTTCGTGTTAGACTTAATATATTATAAATAATAATCCTTAAGGTTGCCAGTAATAATTAATAAAAAACCACTCCTCAATGTTTAAAGTCGACCAGACTGGCAATAATTTATTATAATAATTATTTGAAATACAACAACGTTTCGGCTGTCATTGCAGCCCTTTTCAAGTACATCAAATTTAAAACAGTAAATCAACTTCTATGCAAACTACCGACAATGTTAACGCTTGTTTTGATGAACAATGCAAGACTGACAGAAGTAAGCACATATTAAATAGATGTTAACTGTTCACAAGAATCTTAGTCACAGTTACTCTTAGTTACTGTTTTAAATTTGATGTACTTGAAAAGGGCTGCAATGACAGCCGAAACGTTGTTGTATTTCAAATAATTATTTATAATAAATTATTGCCAGTCTGGTCGACTTTAAACATTGAGGAGTGGTTTTTTATTAATATATTATATTTAATTTAAATATTTGTATATGTTGAATTAACAACATAATATATATTTAGTTGAAAGGTTTATAGTCAAGTTAACACATTTTTTTCAATGTGGCTTTTATTAATCTTGCTTACTTGAAAATGTTCTTTTTTTATTAAATATTATTATTAAATTATATCAGGGTTGGGTAAGTTCATGATTTTTTAAAATTAACAATAAGTTAATTTAGTTGATGATTTTTTTAAATTAACAATAAGTTAAAGTTAGTTGCTTATAAAATTAATTTAATTAAGTTGCCTGACGAAAAAATTAACTCATTGTCAGTTAGAGTAAAGTTAAAATTAAATTAACTGAAATTAAATCAAAAGTTATTTTTAAAAACATTATTTATATTAAATTAGAATTTTGTTTGTTAATATTTTTAAAATTTATAATAACTAATAAATAAATTTTGATTTTGATATAGAAATATAGTTTTTATTGTAAATTATAATTATTGACAAATGAACAAAAATTAATGATACTTTAATTTAAAAATACATTTATAACTTACAAAAAACAATAATGATATTCAGAGATTAAAAACTTAACTTGCGAAAAAGTTAATAAGTTTAAGGTCAAAAATAACTAGTTGAAGTTAAAAATTAATACATTATAAATTAACTAAGCTAAGTTTAAAGTTATTAACTTTTCAACTTTTTTTAAAACTTTTAACTAATTATTACCCAACTCTGAATTGGAAATATATTATCTTTAATTGTACACTGAAAAACTAGTTAACTTGACTAAACCTTTCAACAAAATATTATTTTGTTAATTGAACACATAGACACATTTAAAATAAATATAATGTTAATATAAATCTAACAAAACGTAAATTTTATTTAAATACTAATATATGTTCAATTAACGAAATAGTAATTTAGTTGAAAGGTTTAGTCAAATTAATAAATTTCTTTCTAGTGTATAAATGACGAAATTCGAAAATTATTTTCTAATTATACAGGATGTTAAAAACTTATATTGACACAAGGAGAAAGAAGACTTCAAAATTAACATTTTTTATTAATACTATTTTTCTCTATAATGTTTAATTTTAATAGGTACTACATATGAAATACGAGTTTGTGACTTTTTAGTTTATCATTTGTAGTAAAGTTATTGGAGGAATTTTTGATCATTTACTGTGTGTGTGTAAAAAGAGAGAATTATTTTTATGCATTTGTTGAACATATATTAATATTTAAATCAAATACACGTTTTTTATATTTAATGTTACATTTCATATTTAACAACATATTTAATGTTACATATTGTAACATATTTAATGTTACAAATATAAAACTCAGTATAAATAAACATGTAGAGAAAAATTAATAGTATTAACCAAAGATTTTGAAGTCTTTTTTTCAATTTATCGGTTTAATTTTTTAATATTTTGTATAATTAATTATATAAATATTTATATATTTAAATTAAATAAACTAATAATATCGTTCCTACTTCTGCGTCCTTCTGTAAAAGAATACTGTTCTCGAAATGCGGTCCGGAATCTCTCTTCAATTTACTATAAAGAGAAAAACAACAAGCGTATTTATCCTCGATTCTCCGAAAGGGAGATTGTAAAGATTAGTAAATGCAATTAAAGAATAAGTGACAGGAAGATAATATATCATGCACTCTTTGACTATAGAAAATATCTATTTTACATTATTCAATTTTTCTTGAAAGGATTAATGCAAAACTAATTATCGATTTAATTACCATACGTCAGAATAATCGTACAGACTATGCGAACTCACAACGCGGATGTTTGTGAATAAATCTCAATTCGAGATTTTAATTCTTATGTTTCTCTCTGATCCCCCTACAAAGATGTAGAAAAGCAAAATATATCGGTCCAGAAGTTGCTTAATCCGGAACTTAGGATTTAAAATAGAGATTCTAAAATTGAGAACCAAGTTGAGATTTATTCTTAAATAGTCTTATTGTTAGCACTATGCTAAGCAAATTTCGTGCCTCGTGCACAATTATAAGACATAGGGGAAAAATTAATTTTTATTATCTAAAACACAAACCTTCGCGTTCGGCTCGCATACCCGTGTTTATTTCGAGACTAACTTTCTTATTCATTAAGTACAATATATTTGTTCATTTATTTTTCAAAAGTTTATATTAATCACTAAAGAAAAACTAAATAGTAATATTTATATTTATCGGTTTTTCACTTACTTCTTTGGTAGCATTTGGAGATGTGCAGAGATATTATGAAGTTGAAATAAATATCATTAATTTAAAAGAATTATTTATCTTATTAAATTTGTCGCAAATCTTGCGTTTCAGAATGACCTTAAATGTGTTTTATATCCAAGTGTGGAGTATATTTGCTGTTCTAAGTATGTGTGTTTTAATTATGTTTTTCTATATTTTCAGATACATAAAATATTTTGGTGTAAGTCTTTGTACAATTATCTGATTTTAATATATTTTCTGATATAGAATAAAAAGGCCTCACACTTGAAACATTATGTATAAATTTCTTTATGCTTTATTCTTATACGATATATCACAGATGTATCGATAGATAATAGGATGAAATTTTTATCACAGATATCGCATGCTCCACATTGTTTGTTATACCTATTAAAATAATGCCACATCCATCGAAGAGATCCTCTGCATAAATGATACGATGAAAACATTCTTCGTTAATAATTATGTTAAACTTTGTTATGATTTTTATTCCATTAAATTTATGTTCTTCCTTAGATTGTCGACGATTGTCGAACGAAATTAGTTAAAATATTTCACATCATGATAAATGCGCCACATAATAAAATCAAAGAATAAATTTATAAATTTAAAAAATACAGCACAGACATTTAAATGAATGTTCAGATTTTTAATTTCAGTTTAATTAAATTTATTTAAACTTAATCCAATTTATAAATACATATCTTTGTACGAATTATTAGTATCGTTACGACATTATTTATACTATGAAATATATTTCAATCTTTCTTCCCCTCTCCCTTTCTGTTTATTTTTCATTCTTTTTAATAAATAATGTGTAAATTTTAAGAATTTCAACAATTTTATGTTATTTACTCGCGCGTATATACGGGGTGTAAACTATTATATAATGTGATGTAGAGGATTGTATATTGTTTAAATCGCTCGATCACTGAAGAAACATATTTGTAAAATTAATAAATTTATTTTTGAAAAATAAAATACAAGATGAGTGTCCTAACAGAAGTTTCAAAGAAACGGAAATTAAAGTGTTACATTTTAATGACATTAAATGTGTTCTGTGCTCAAATGCGGAGTACATTTGCTGTCTCATGACTAAGCATGTGTTTCTCAATTATGTATTTTTTATTTTTTCATATAATATAAAAAATTTTGGTATAAGTCTTTGTACAATTACCACATTTAAATAAATTTTAATATATAGTTAACGTTGTTCGTTATATTTCTTAAAATAATGCCTCATCCATTGAAGAGATTTTCTACATAAAAGGAAGATATAACTTGTTGGAATTAGTCAAATTTTAAAGTCTTGCTTGAATCTTGCACGAATTTTCAAAATCTGCAATTATCATACAATATGTCATACAAAATCTAATATCATTAATACGTTTTTATTGTCTCCTTCAACACAAAAGTATTATATATATTTCAAAATATAATAATCATTGTCTTTTATTAATATACCTGTTTTTACTTATACAAATGCAACACTATCGTTTATAAAAGTTTCAAAATATTAGATATTAATAAATGGTAAATTTTAATTAGGTCATATTTTTCATATACTTAAAGTAATAAAAAGAAGTTCATAAATTAATTAATTTTTATAAATTTTTAAATATATAAATTTTACTGCACTAAGTCAAATTCTTGCAATCACAATTTTTCTTATTTAATTGTTTATATTAATAAATACAATAAATATAGCAGAGAACGATAAATACATTTTATTCGTCGTTGATATTCAATTGACATTGCATACAAAAATAGGGCATGGTATTTATCAACAAAAGTCGAACATATACGTGTATATACATGTATGTGTCAATATAACATCTGTCTGTTATGTTGGTCCATGCAACTATGGCATATTTTACGTTTTTATTTATTTGTTTTACTATTTAAAACGAAATCTAAGACACAAACTGTAAAATTTGTACTTTAATAGATTTTTTTGTGAATAAATGTCTCAATAAACACTTAACCACGTTAAATTATAAAAAATTGTAAATTATACATATTGTTATCTAAAAGAATTGTTATCTAAAAAAATCTCACAGTGTTCAATATGTTTACAATTGTATATATTATATACTAATATGCGATTGTTAGTGCGCATGTACTTTACTCATATTGTACTCATATTTTTTAAACATGATGACAAAAATAGACACAGATGCAGGCTCATATGCTACTCAAAACACAGACATATTATGATATCTTGAAACTGTTTGCAAAAAATGTCATTATGAGTATACATGAATATGCTTAAATTAATATAATTACTCACATTTTGCATTATATGTATATAACTTGCACTCATAATACCTATCATCATAATATGATTGCAATACATTTTAATCATATCAAAGGTTTTTGGATAATGCATTTAACTTCGATTAATTGCAAAGCATTTATTATATGTCGCATTATAAATTGTCTAACGATATGTGTTATGGACTCCAACATCTGAAAAAATTAATTAAACATGAATATAAAGACGACATGTAAACAAAAATCTAATTATAAATTAAAAAATGAGAGATTGCACATTTCTCTTCTTCCTATACATATTTAGTGTAATATATTGATTCTTTGTAAATTTAGAAATATATTAATAACTTAAAATTATTAGAAGTAATAAATAAGTAATTTTTAACCTTTGTAATTGTTATTGCGAATGGTCTTACAGACATGTATTCTGATAGATTATCAATAACACGATACCCGGGGAAATACTTTTGTGTGTAAAAACATCCTGCATTTTCAAAATTATTCGTGACTCTGTAAACAATTAAATTATTACTTTAATCATTATAAAAATTTATATAATAAAAAATTATATTGGAAGCGTATAATAAAAAAAGAAAGATTATCGAGAAATAATGATAATGTCGAATCTAATATATATCTGTACTTACAATTTTGATTTCCAAAATATACAGAATCCATCTTCAATATATAGTACATCGCAACGTAGACCAAGTCTTCTAGCCACGCTATGAAATATTGTATTTACAATGATATCTTCACCAACTTTACTTTGTAAAACCTGTGCCAGGTATAATACACGACAAATTAATCAAAGCGAGAGAATATTAAAAACAACATATAACGTATACATATATGGCCCATAATTACATGTATTATAATCAATAATAACTTACATAATCTATACACAAATATTTGATATCTTCGGGTGAAAATGGGGGGATACGTGCTCGAATGTAGAAGGTGCGAAATATATATTCTTGGAGTGTATCCATAATATGCGTACTTTCTGTGTCATTCCATCGATTATCTTCGATATTGTTGGTTTTCCAATAGGAAAAAGTTTTATCAGACGTGGAGAATATCGAATGGTTCGGATGCTTCTCTCTGAGACGATTCCGTACCTCTTGTGCGATTGTATCCAATGATGCACTTACATTCGTGTAACATACATCTTGAATATATTTTGCCGCAAAAGTACATGTTTCTTCCAAAAGCTGTTCTCCTTCAGGTTTCTTTCTATATCTGTCCAACTCATTTCCTATCGAGGATAGCTTCGCATAGTGAGACATTTCTATATTGCAAAAACTTTCGATTGATTTGCGATCCCTAAAAAATGTATATTGAAGCATTAACTAATGATTAAATACATTAAATTGTAATAATAGTTGCATTATAATATATATGAAAGTCCTACTGTGGAAATTGTGTTAACAAGCATTTAATCTCTTCAATATAAAACATATATTTCAGCGCATCTATAGGCTCATGTGTACATGTAAAGACAATTCGATTTACATATTTATCGATATTACCACTGAATTTTTTTACATTATTTTTTAATTCCAATACATTAGCAAATGAGTTGTCGAAGTTATTCTGATTTGATCCCTTATTGTAATAATAATCATAAAAAAGAATTTGAGACAAATAATTTCGCAATTGTGTCGCAGAATTTATGCCTATTGTAACAAAGTTTAGGTTTTCTTTCTTTTCTTTCTCCGTAAGACTTTCATATCTTTTCTTCGCATAGGGCCATCTAAAATACGACCATAAAATATTGTAATAAATTTTTGATAATGATACTTAGTGTTGTGTCAAGATTAATTTAAAATTAGCTGGATAAAGATGAGATAAAAGTATGTAAATTCATATTAGATAAAATAAAGATGATTTTGCTTTAAGTATATCTAGATAAAAGATATAATTATGACGATTTATTTAGATAATTGTTTAGATAATAATATTAAAACTATTTATGTAAACACAGTTATACAAGGAATATAAATTAAGAAAAAGATACAACAATATATGTATACATATTTTTATTTATAAATTTTTATCGCTTTACTGTCTGCTTTAAGTATTTTTATGTGCTATGATTCTAAACCAAAATTATCTGAATATTATTTTAGATAAATAATATAGTAAAGGTAGTATTTTTTTTATTTATTTGTAAGATGCAGATATAAAGATAATACATATTTTTATTATCTATATGCAGATAAGATGACGCCACAGTTCTTCCATTTAATTTTATTTAGATAACACACAGCAAACTTTGATGATAGTAAAAAATGTGATTGCACAAGTCATTTTTCAAATTAATAAATTTTTTAAAGTGTACAATTCAAAGCATGAGTATATATATGACACTTCTTTTTCTATTTTCCCTTTCCAAAAAGTGCATGTTATGTATTCTCGCAATATCTCGAATGTATTGTTGCCTTTTTATCGTGATGCCGATTGGTTGTTGGTTGTCGAGCATTTCGTGCGCTATGACTTGATTCACTCGTATCCTCGTATGTTGGTTATACGATATGACAAACTGTCATACTGATAAACTGTCATACTGATAATTAATATGAAAGAAATTAAATAACACAAGCGCGCGCTGAACAATTCTATTACAATTTTCTATTGTAACAAAGGTAAGGTAATTGTAGCAATGCAAGTATAATTATAATATAATATAAATATAATATATAAATATAATATAGTAACCTATTAAATTATAATAATTTTTAAATTAATATTCATATAAAAATATATATTAATATATATATATATATATATATATATATATATATTAATATTAATTAATTTCTTACCATTGTAACGATCATGTGTTATAAATTATATTGTATATAATAGAAAGAAAGAAAGTGACGGAGATTAATCGAGAGAAATAGAGAAAGGAAAAAGGACCATAGAAAAGAAAAAGAAAGAGAAAGAAGAGAAAAGAGGATTCGTAAAAAATAAAGAAAGATAAAAACAGAAGGAAGGAAGAAGGAAATATACAATATTAGGTAAATAAATTTATTTTTATAAATTTAATAAGTGTATATATATATAAATATAAATATATACATATATATATATATATATATATATATATATACATATATTTATATAGGGCATATCACACATAAATCAATCACTTTTTTATTTGCTTTATTTTTTTTATGTTTTTGCATTTATTGAAAGTTGTTTCCATGATTTGAAAATATTTAGACATTCTTGAATAGTAGTATTTTGCAATTTCATACCACCGTAACGATCATATCAATTTTAATCTAATTTATTTTTTTCCCTCAATGAGACCCCTTCGATTATTTTCTAAAAAATTGATAACATTTGCGACTTAAATACAAAATTTTTGAGCCATAACAAAGAGGGATTCAAATAATTTCAACTTTTTAACACCAAAATTTTTTGAATTTTTTATATTACAATAAACCGTAGTCGAAAAATAATTTTAATATTATTTATAACCTCCCTACCGAAACAGAATTGTTTTAAAATAAAATAAAGTAATACAAATAAAGTATTATATTTTATAAATAATGTTTTTAATTTATTAATCAATTTGCAAATAAAAGTAACTTAAAAAATTTTTTTTAACTAAATTTGAATTTTAAACCAATAAAATGCGAAAAAATTTAGATAAAATTTTGTTATCGTGTTTTTTTTTTAAAGAAATTAAAAACATTATTTTTTAGCAAAATAGCAAAAAAATAGTTTTAAATAATATTAGAATTTTTTCTCGATTATTAATACTTTAAAATAAGTAATTATTATCTTTGTAAACTCTTTCTTTTTTATTTTAGTAATGTAAAAAATTAAAGAATGTGATTTTAGGAAAAAAATTGCAAAAAATGGTGTTAAAAAATCAAAGTTATTTAAATCCCCTTTTTACTTATGACTTAAAAATTTTGTATTTAAGTCTTAAATGTTATCAATTTAAAAAAAAAATCGAAAGGATCTCATTAAGGGAAAAAAAATAATAAAATTGTTTTGAAATACATAATTCAAGTATGAATAGAAAAAAAATCTAAAAAAAAATCATGGAAATTAATTTTGGAAACTACTTTTAATAAGTGCAAAAATATTTAAAAAATGAAGCAAATAAAAAATGTTTATGGAAAAAAGTGGTCTATTTGTGTGGTATGGAATGCCCCATATACATATATATACATATATATACATATATATATATATATATATATGTATATATGTTAATTTATAGTTTATAAATTATATATATAACAGAGAAAGAAAAAAAGTGACGGAGAATAATTAAAAGAAAGAGAGAAAGGAAAAAGAAGATTAGTGTATATGAAAACTTTCTAGGTAAACTATAATTTAATGAAAAATAATGTTTCATTTAAAAAATTGAAAGTAATTTTTATATAATCTTTAAATGAATTAATCACATTGTCTTACGTCCCCCTCAAAGATAAAACTTATACAAAATATTTTTTCTTAAAATGTTTTATTTTTAAGATAAGCAATTGCATTTTTAAAAATAATAGATCTAAAATAATAACCTGTATATATAAAATTAATATGTATAATATGTAAACGTTTTTATTTACAGTTAAAACGAACGAAATATAAGAAAAATATAAGAAAGAGAAGGAAAGAAAAATAGAGAAGAAGAAAGAAAACAAAGAATATATAAATAAAAAGGAACTAAAAGAAAAATAAAAAAATATTATAATTATAATTAATAAATATTATTAATAATATTATACCTATATATATATTTTTAGTATAAATTATTTCATGATTTACTGTTATTTAATAGTTACTTAATAGTTTAATATATGTTATTTAATTAATTATTTAACATGTTATTTAATATTATTTAACTTAACTTAATTTAATTTAATTTATTTATTAATAATTTAATTTAATTTAATTATTAATTAATTTAATTTAATTTAATTTGATTAATTAATTTTAATTTAATTTAATTTAATTTGATTAATTTATTTTAATTTAATTTAACTTAAAACATATAAACTAATTAATATTTATTAATTAATATCGCCTATTAATATATAATTATATTATAATATAATATATTTATACTGTACATTAATATAAATTTGTATTTATAATTATTTATAAATAAATAATGATGACAATGATGACAATGATGATAATGATGATGATGATGATAACAATGATGACAATGATAATAATGATTATAATGATAATGATGATGATGATTATGATTATGATGATAATAATGATGACAATAATGATGATAATGATAATCTTGATTATAATATTGATTTTAATTTTTGTATAAAAACTTTAAAGTTCACAAATTAATATTTAATAATTTAAAAGATTGAATTTTAATAGCTTATTCAAATTTTAATAATCAATCTATAATATTATTTTAATATATTTAATATATTTAATAAATTTTTGTTTATTTTTGCATTAAAAATTTCAAAAATTAAACTTTTTTAAATACCTAACTTATAAATTTTATTATTAATTTCTCTTTAATTATTATTAAATATTTAAGTAAATGTATTTTCTTATTTTAATTAGCATATAATATATTAATCTGTGTGTTCGGTATATATATATATTTATATTTTTAAACTTTATAAAATAATTAAATTTTAATAAGTTTACGATCAATTTATAAATTAATAATTTTGTTTAAATTTCAATAATATATATACTTTTCACGGAAAACATACGTGTATATATATATATATATATATATATATATATATATATATATATATATTTATATATTATTACTTTTATAAAATGCCGAAACGCAAAATACAGCATAGTTTAGAAGAAGAAGAGGAGTTACAACAACGTTCTAAAAAAAAAAGCAGAAAATCAATATCGTCGTAATCAAATTATAAAAGCATTAAATAATGTAACAAAATCAGTTAATCGTAATATTTGTGTTGCTGGTACATCACGTGATAATCATATAATAATAGATTTAGATGAAGAACAAAGTTTTAAAAATCTTAAATCAGTGTGTCAACAATCTTTTGCAGAACGTCAATCTTATTATCGATCACGGCAAAAAAATCAACCTTGTTTAAATAATGATGATATAATATTAATTAATAATATTGTTGAATATTATATTGGTTCTATGGATGTATCTTGTATTCATTGCAATGCAAAACATTTTGCGTCTGAAAAAATATCTAATAGAGGAAGCTCCTTTCATGACTGTTGTAATCATGGTGCAGTATATTTACAACCATTACCTGAATTTCCACAATTAATTCGTGATTTATTTGATGGGACTCATGTAAAATCTAATGATTTT